GTGGGAGGCACATTTTATTATGGATGCGCGCACTTTATTTGACGTCTTTTAGACTGTTTAACAGAAACACCCATCCACTGTAATGACGCTTGGAAGAGCCAGGACAATTTTTTTATATAACTCCGATTGGATCCGTCTCAAAGAAGAAAGTCATATACTCCTAGGATGCCTTGAGGGTGAGTAAATCATGGGCTAATTTTCATTTTTGGGTGAACTATCCCTTTAACTAACCATCATCATCATACTAAATGGAAGCATGAAGTTTTAATGCCAGTGTTTTGACTGTACAGTATATAGAGGTTATGGCCTTAGACCCAATCTCCAAATCACCCTATCCCACTAACAAACCAAGCAGCATTAGGCCTTATAACAGAGAAAGCATTCAAGGGAACAAGACGAGAAAACAATCAAGCAGACTGGACACTACAGGATGAGGTCATGTGAATGACAACCAGGGGTATGTGCTTGATTATGTCATGCAAGTGGTGACATCATAAATCTCAAAGAATTCAGAAACTTTTTGCACTTTCATTAGTGTATGTACAAGATAGATGATAGACAGACAGACAGACAGACAGACAGATAGATAGATAGATAGATAGATAGATAGATAGATAGATATCAATAGAGCAATTCCATTATAAGTGCATTACATGTAGGGAAAGATAGATAGATAGATAGATAGATAGATAGATAGATATCAATAGAGCAATTCCATTATAAGTGCATTACATGTAGGGAACACTATATTCTATTCATAAGAAAACTACTGGAGTCCAAAATCACATAAAACAGATATAATCTTACAGCAAGAGAAGATTAAACAATTTCTTTGCTTTTATTGTACCTTGAACACCTTTCCAAAGGCTCCATCCCCCAGTTCTCCCACAATCTCCCAGATTTCCTCCGGATTTGTGTCCCTGTGCACGTGATCATAGTGCTTCTTCTTCTTCTTCTCTGCGCCCAATTTAAAGATTTTTCGGAAATTAAAGAAGTACATAGCCAAATCCCACACGTCTCTTTCTCTGGTCGGTTGACAAGGGGAGATTTCTTTCAGCTAATGTCTAGACAGGCGTAAATCAATCAATGCAACTTTTATTGCATTCCCATTGCAATTCAATACTAGTCAGACTCTTGTCTAATCAGGAAATAGTCTTGAGTGTTGACATGTTCGTCTTTGCACGTTATAATTGGAGAGCTTGATATGTTTCACTAGTCATTTAGCGATCAGTATGTCGATGCAATAATGCACAGACAAAGAAAAAAAAAGACTTAATTCTAGCTTTTCTTTGCTCGGAGATCCAGTAAATCATATTTTTACAATAAAAACAAATCATTAACATGCATTAATCTACTGTGTGCAATAGTGTAAAGGCGAGTTTGATTTAAATAAATCCGGCGTCTGACTCTTTCGAGGCAAGTCATGAGGTTGTTGTTCCTCGCAGTTTCATGGATCTGGTCCTTAAAACCATCTATTTGTTTCTCTTTCTCTTTAAATAAAGTCTGACAAGAGGCTGATAAAATGTTTGCATCTCCTGTACAATAACAGTCTTCACAGGTCGTACATCCTCCGGTCCTGGGTTAAAAGCAAGCCCGCTCCAAACGCATGAAAACGCACAATAGTTTTTGTATGGAGAAACTCTGCGCTTCCTCTAATCTAGCGGATTGGTAGGGCTGGGAATCGATTCCAAAAAGAATCGATTCCTCGATGCCGAGGCGTTGGGAATCGAGAGTCGATTCCAAAGGTTGGAATCGATTCCATCAAGGGGAATCGACTCCTCAATCAGAGCCTTTTTCAGTTCAACAGAGCTTATCTATGGGTGCCTCTCAAACGGAAGGCTGCATCCTACGAAGGCTGCACACATTTAAATTCACGAAATAAACGGAAAGAAAACGAGTCGGTACTGATCATCTGAATTTTAGGATGCAGCCTTCCGTTTGAGAAGCACCATTTACCTCCCTCATGCTCGCTAAAAGCCGTAATTAGGAGAGTTGTGAGATAAAATATTATTTTCATTTTTATATTTTTATTACCATTCGCCTCCCTCATGCTCGCTAACAGTTATTAGAAGTCTGATTAGTTTCCGGATTCGGATAGATAGTTTGTGAACCAGTTAAAAAAAAAAAAAACGATTCAGAGGTTATTTTACGGTGGAACTGGCTTGTCCACAATTTTGAGCGCTGCATGACGGAATAGATCATGACGTAATCGAGGGTCTTGATCTTATTACCATCTAAAATACTATTTTTTTTTTTAATTCAGTGTACAGTTTGTTAATATTGTGCAAAGCATACAGTCATAGTAAACTTCATCATTCAGCTGAACTGTGCACATTTATTTTAGACACTTCATGTCTTGTTTAATTCATGTGATAAACGCATGTCCCTGCTGAGATGTGGGCTAGCGACTAATTTCACGGGCAAAGCAAGCAAAATTACAATTTTTTACAATTTTTTACAAATAAAGCTTCATATTATGAGAAGGATACTTTCTATTAGAGCTCTTTTTCAGAGAGAGATAACAACTAATCCTTACATAATACCTTACTGGAATAACATTGTGGAAAATATACCTTGGGAGAAAGTATGGACCTTGCCTTATAGATATCTGCTTACCAATAAAGCAAAAGAAATAACATTTAAGTTGATTCACAAATGTTACCCAACTAAAGTCTTTCTTAGGAAATATAAGTCAGACATTGAAGTGAGCTGCTGTTTTTGTCATTCTTCTGAAGAAGACTTCATTCATTTATTTTGGCAATGTTCCTACACAGAACAATTTTGGTCAGACTTTTTAGTGTTTATTCAATCTTTTGTAAGTGACTTCTCTTTTTGTTTTAATGATGCTTTCTTTGGATTGTTTGACTATTCAAAAGAGAACACCGGAAAATATTACATAATTTATGTTTCCTGTTTGCTAAATTTCACATTCATAAACAAAAGTTTACTGGCTCTAAACCTCTCTTCTCCTTTTTTGTTTTTATCTTGTCTTTATTTATGATTTTGATAATTGTAATATCTAATAGTATATAATAAATAATTAGTTTAGATTAAATAGTTTTAAATATTTACTATCTATATTTTTGTTCATATACCATTTCAACCATTATAGATCTATTTTCTCACACTATACTTCTGTTTTGTTTCCGTTTACATATTTATTCCGTTTATTTATATATGTATATTTGGTCTGGTTCCGCTTCACTGCTTCATCTCAACTTCAAAACTACTGAACGTGAGCGTTCACAACTTGTAGTCAAGACAACGGACGCAAACGGAGGGAGATTGAGTTCTGATTGGTCGCCGTCTCTCTGACTGTCTTGACTGACAGTTTAATGCTGTGTTGTGATTGGTCAATGTTGATGTTTATCCCTCCGGGTAAAGAGCTTTAACGTGTTGAGATTTTCTTCAACACACTCGTTTTTCATTTGCCAGAACCACTACACGAGGTAACACAAGCTAACTTACACAAACAGTGCTTTGTCGTCTGAGTTGTCTTTCGTGAAAGCAGAATGTATTTGCAGCTTTTGCGAGGTTCAAATTTACAGGTATTTTTTCGTGTGAATGATTTTGTGTGCCAGTGTACAAATATATTAGCGTCAGTGCCAAGCATACTTACTTTAAGTGCATGTCGTGGCTTGCAACAATTATCAGTAATCATTAAAATGGTAAAATACACTATAATGTTATACGTTATGTTCTTAAAAAGTCATTGTTGCACGGGACGCATTTTCAGTGACGTGCAAACGTAGTATCTCAGTTGCCATGACAACCTGTGTCGGCGCTGTGGTTTATTTTTATACATTTTGCTTAAGAAAATTCGAATCAAGACGTTTCTGTATAAACATGTCAATACAGTCATGCTTTATTGAAATGTATAGCTCTCAATACCCATCAAATTCTTTTAATTTTTTTTATGAGACATCAAAATTTCTTAATGAGAATTATGTAACTTTACAAAATAAATGTTTTTTGTTTTTTTTTTACATAGGACCCAAACTAGAGCACAAACTAATGACTGGTAAAACATGTAATTTCTCTCAATACCCATCAAATTTTTTTAATTTTTTTTATGAGACATCAAAATTTCTTAATGAGAATTATGTAACTTTACAAAATAAATGTTTTTTGTTTTTTTTTACATAGGACCCAAACTAGAGCACAAACTAATGACTGGTAAAACATGTAATTTAGTCAACTGAATTGTGAGACATAAGATGCCCCAAAGATGCCATTTTACTTTGTTGCATTGAAGTTTTAATTTTTATAGGTTGTAGTAACGTAGTAAATCTAACAGGTGGCACTAGAAACCGTCAAAACATGGAGCCTGAACAGGAGGTTTAGGTGAGTTTTGGGCCAGAAATGCAAGACTAATGTTTGAATTAATCATCTCCAAATGTTCATGTTCCTCACATTTACTTCAACAGTTGGAAGATTATTTTTCTATTTCTCAGTATTCTGATACAGCTGACGAGGCCGAGGCACGGAGAAGGATGCTGAGGGCTCGTCGCTCTACCAGCCTTATCAAGGGGGCATCTACCCATCAGAGTCCCACCAGACACTCACCTGTTAAAGTACTAATAAGCCATCAGTGCATTCATATCAGTGAGATTAGTTTCTTTTAATTCTGCTAATTCCTTTTTTATGTGTCTCTCTTTTTAAAGGGTGGCACGTACGATTCAGAGCTAATGAGGGTGTTACGAGAAAGAGATGAACTGCAAAACATGTTGGAGAAACAAGAGCGGCACCTCTCAGAGATCCAGGCCAATGTTAAAGTGCTCACAGCCGAACGGGACAAGACCAGAATGCACTACCAGCAGGTAGACAGCGCCAAACCTCCCAGAATTCTTCAGTCAGGTTGTTGTGTTTATTTTGGGGTGTGACACAGACATAGTATAAAAAAAAACACACACACACACACACACACATGGTTAATTCTGAGTGACTGATATTTAACTTGCAATTTCATGTTAATAAAATATTATAATTTATAATTTACACAATATATTTTTTTAACCACATGAATCAAATTTGTTTTGGTCAACATGCATTTTTATATATATAGCTATATATTTATTAGTAGTATTGCTTGCTAGATTATATATATTTTTAAATTTGTTTTGGCTTCATTACAATAATAGTATACAGTAAAAACAATTATTTAATTTGATATTAATTAAAATATAAAATTTATATAAAACAATATTTACTTAATATTGTAGCATAATATTTTTAGTGCATACATCAAGTTTGTTTTGATCAAATTGAGTATATAATTAAGTATATGTATAGATTTGATATAAATATATAATATAAATATATATTAGTAGTATTATTTGCCAGATAATATCTGAAGCATTTGTTTTGGCTTCACTACAATGACAATATACAGTAAAAACGATTATTTTATTTTATATTAATTAAAATGTTAAATTAATAAATCAACAATTATATTTGTTTTGACTTCATTACAATAAAAGTATACAGTAAAAACAATTCTTTAATTTTATATTAATGAAAAATGTAAATTAATAAAACAATATAGCCTATATATTTATTAGTAGTATTATTTGTCAGATAATATATTAATAAATTATTTTGGCTTCATTACAATAACAGTATACAGTAAAAACAATTATTTAATTTTATATAGATTAAACTATTAAATAATAAAACAATATTAATTTAATATTTTAGCATAATAGTTTTTAGTACATGCATCAAATTATATATATATATACATATATAATTATATAATTTTGGAAACTTTTAATTATTTTCACACTTTATTTTGAATACTTTTCTTACCCAGAAAGAAAGCACTCAGCAATATATCACCAGTATTTCACTAAACAATGTGGCCTCAGATGTGCCCTGTCTCCCACTGCAGGCTCAAGAGGAGATAGCAGCTCTACGACGGGAGGTCATGAAGTCAAAGGCCGCACGAGGGCCCAAGAGCAGTGTGACCGCTCAGAGCATCCTGAAACGAGTGGAGGCCGAACGGGACGAGGCCATAACAGACCTCAACCGCATGACCACAGAAAGAGACAGCCTGAGAGAGAGACTCAAGGTACGAATAACAGCCTGAGTACACTGGCTATTCATGTGCTGTATCACATTTGTGTGCATTCATGTTTGCTTGTATCCATCTTATGAAGATGTTATTTAGGAGTACTAATAGAAAATCACTTACGCACTAGTGTACAGTAATAAATTGAGTCATCTCACTGGGGAGCAGAGTGATAATTCCAGGAGAGAGGTGTGCTTTTTTTTAGCCCACTGAGTGTATGTGTGTATGTGTTCCCTTTGAACTGCACGTCGCCTCAGATCTCTCAGGAGACAGCCATCAGCGAGAGAGCTCACCTGGAGCAGAGGGTGGAGGACCTGCAGGTTGCTGTACTCACAGTAAGAGCTCTGTATTTATAGACTGCCATGGAACAGTGACGACAGCTGTAGATTGAACATAATGTACTTACTATAGTCTGCAGTGAAGCAAAATCACAAATGAGATCTCAATTATTGCTCAATTATACAAATGGAGACGTATTTAAGCCTTTAAGCCTGACATATTAAAAAATAGTTTTTTTTTTTAGAACAGTTACTGAACCTTTAGATACATTTTTTTTTAAGTTTGCATATGTATTTGATACATCAGGCTTTTATAGAGCTCATTATTGAGGAGGAAAAGCACCTTTTATTCAGTAAAAATTCAATTTGATGTAGATGTTGTTATTTTTATGACCAAAAAGTAAGATGAAATTCTGATAGCTTGTAATGTAAATAGTTAGGTTACTTGCGTAACCCCGGTTCTCTGATAACAGAAGTGAGGTATCTCACTATGGGACCCTTCTTGCAGACTACACGGTGAAGAAGCTGTGTGGAGAATGACGCAGCAGCGGGCTGCGGTGGGTTATATACCAGGGAGGCGGGACTCCCCGATCGCTGCAGCGATTGGTCTGTCAGTCTGACAGACGTGGTGTGATTGGTGCTTCCGCAGTCGGTCACGCCTGAGGCGCTCCCATAGTGAGATACCTCACTTCTGTTATCAGAGAACCGGGGTTACGCAAGTAACCTAACTATTTACATTACAAGCTATCAGAATTTCATCTTACTTTTTGGTCATAAAAATAACAACATCTACATCAAATTGAATTTTTACTGAATAAAAGGTGCTGTATCTCACTATGGGAGCGCCTCAGGCGTGACCGACTGCGGAAGCACCAATCACACCACGTCTGTCAGACTGACAGACCAATCGCTGCAGCGATCGGGGAGTCCCGCCTCCCTGGTATATAACCCACCGCAGCCCGCTGCTGCGTCATTCTCCACACAGCTTCTTCACCGTGTAGTCTGCAAGAAGGGCGGTGAGGTGAGATACCTCACTTCTGTTATCAGAGAACCGGGGTAATGCAAGTAACCTAACATTCTCTTTCTAACACCTAACGTTCTCTTTCTAACATCCGTTCGGTATCTCACTATGGGACATAGACCACTCCCGTATTGCAGATAATGCTGTATGAACAGACGCAACCTAGGAAGGTGATAAACAAGTGATCATGGCTTTAATGCTTGAGCAAACCTGATGCACTTCATAATATAATACAGTGAACACAAGCACAGTGTATTATACTGCTGAATTGAAAATATGCACGTATTCCCTGAATAAAATGCATTACATATCAGGCACCGCTCCTGCTCCCAGCACTGAATGCACCAGTGACGACTCTGTCACATCCAATCTGTAATATCTCACAAATATGTGCGGTGATGCCCAGCTCGCCGCAGCACAAATGTCCTGAATAGAAACTCCTCTGAACATTGCCGAGGACGTGGCCATTCCACGTGTGGAGTGGGCGCGAAGTCGAGGTGGTAAATTTACATCCTTGTAACACATTACGATCGCGTCTACCACCCAGTGAGAAAGCCGCTGACATGAAACAGGACTTCCTCGATAATTGTCAGCCCAAGAGACAAAGAGCTGATTACTCCTTCGTAACAGTCTCGTCTTCTGCACATTGTCAGCCCAAGAGACGAAGAGCTGATTACTCCTTCGTAACAGTCTCGTCTTCTGCAAATAAACACTTAAAGAACGCACCGGGCATAAACAGTATAACCGCTCTTCCTCTGATGAAGAAAAAGGCGGTGGAAAGAACGCTAGCAATTCCACAGATTTGTTTGTTCCTGTTGTGTCCCTGACCTTAGGAACAAATGCCGGGTTAGTCCTTAGCGTAACTTTCGATCCATCCAATGCAAACTGCATACAGGAATGATGTACTGACAAAGTGTGTAATTCACTTACGCACTTTGCTGTAGTAAGAGCAATCAACAAAGCCGTCTTTAAAGAAAGACGCTGCAAATCAATGCCCTCTAATGGTTCAAAAGGAGGCTGCGAGAGCACATCCAGAACCACTGTTAAGTCCCAGGACGGGATCAGGGATTTAGTGACCTGGACGCAGCCGTCTCGCTCCCCTCATAAACCGACAAATCAGGGGGTGCTGACCTATCGTTCCCGAATCCAGCCCCACATGACATGCTGAAATAGCTGAAAGATAGACCTTTACAGTCGAAAAGGCTCTACCTTTATCCAATAGTTCTTGCATAAAGCAAAGAACATCCGATACAGAGCATAAAAACGAAGTAATATGCCTCTCTGCACACCATCGCTCAAACACTCTCCATTTGTGACCATACAGAGAGCGTGTGGAGGCTGCCCTCGCACTCTGTATTGTGTCAATCACGTTAGAGGGTAACCCGATGGCATTTAAATTCATCCTCTCACGGGCCAAGCCCACAGAGCTACTTTGTGGGGTGCGGGATGAAATATCTCCCCGTTCGCCTGAGAAAGAAGGTCCCTGCCCAACGGGAGAGGCCAGGGTTGATCGTATAGAAGTGGAATTATTTCCGCTATCCACAGTTTTCCCGGCCAATACGGTGCAATCAGAATCAGTGAATGTCTGAATTCCCGTACTCTTTGTAATGTTGGCCCGATGAGACTTAGTGGGGGAAACGCGTACAACAATGCGTTTGGCCATGGGTGGGCTAGAGCATCCACACCCAGAGGTGCATCCTCTCCCATTAGGGAAAAGAACAGAGGGCACTGCACGTTTTCGCGCGATGCGAAGAGATCTACGGCAGCCTGTCCGTATCTCTGCCACAACTGAATCACCACCTGTGGGTGAAGTGCCCAATCTCTGTAACGGGGATTCCTTCTGGACAACAGATCCGCTCCCCTATTCATTGTACCCGGCACGTGTGTTGCACGAAGCGACAGAAACCAAGTGCTGCTCCACACAATTAGTCTGTGAGCTAGACTGTGAAGCCGCGAGCTCTGAGTCGCTGTCCAGCACTGAAATTCTCTCATTCTCAGCAGCCCCAGGGGAATTATGGCCACTGTAGAGGCCATCAGCCCTAGTAACCTTAGACACACCCTGAGAGGAACCGATCTCCCTTTCTGAAAAAGAGAAATGCAGCTGTAGAATGACTTGATGCATTCCTCTGATAAGAACGCTCGATATAGCACTGAATTCAGTCTGAGACCCAGATAGTTTATCTCTTGAGCGGGGAGTAAACAGCTCTTCTCTCGGTTCACCTTGACCCCCAGACTCGTCAAATGTGAAAATAGGGTCATTGTATCCCTTTCTGCCTGCTGCTGTGACTGCGCGCAGAGCAAAAGGTCGTCCAAATAGGCTGATACTCTGACTCCCGCTTGACATTTGCTGAAAGTTCTCGGTGCGAGAGACAAACCGAACGGAGTCCTCTGATAATCGTAAGCTCTGCCCTGATAAGCAAACCTGAGAAATTTCCTGTGTGCAGGAAATATTTCTATATGGAAGTAAGCGTTCTTGAGATCTATCGATGTGAACGAATCTCCTTGACGCACTACTTGTGATAAAGTTCGTAAGTTGAGCATTTTGAACCTGTACTTCCTGAGGTGTTTGTTCAGGGCCAGCAAATCTAAAGGGCGGAGACCCCCACCTTTTTTGGGAATCACAAAGTACCGGGAGTAAAACCCTTGCTGGCTTTCCTCTCGCGGCACCGTTCTTATCACTCCTTTGTTCAAGAGAGAAGATATTTCTTCCTCTAAAACCTGCGCCGATTCCCCCTGTGCTGTTGACATAACCACTTCTTTGAAACTGTAGTGTCTTTTTCCTCTGCTCTTAGAAATCACACTCAGTCTTGGGTTTTTGAAGCCAGAAGAAATACACTTTATTTCATATAATCTATGCTATACCATTTCGGAATCTCTATTTTCTGTTTTTCAGTTTTTATATTTTGGCTGACATCTGATAACTGACACCATGATCCCCAGAGTGGTCTATAAAAATAATCTGTTAATTTAGGATTTCCCAAAAATCCTAGACATTCAGCAATACAATATGGTCTGGTAAAATCTGTTAAATGACAAAAGTTTCTCCCAAATTCGGCACATTTTTGGTAGTCATATGGATTTGGTATGGCTATCACTTTGTCCTTCATTCACATCCTCTGTACTGTCAAACAACTTACTTCTTGCTCTTTCTAAACTATTTACCTCTTGTATCTTTTTTCCTGATTCTTTCATTTTCTCCTCTATTCTAACATTTCCTCAAAGTTTGTCCTATCTTGGTTTGTTTTCATCATTTCTAAAGCTATGCGTGCCTGTCTATAACAATCCATTTGTAAATATCCTTCACTTTCTTTTCTCTCTTGCCTTTTTGTTTTCACAGCTGGTTCCTTATTTTCTTCCAACTCTACTGGCCCATTCATTTCCAGTTCTCCAGTTACTTCAACTGTTCCCTTGAGAATTGGTAATTCTCCGTCTGGGGGCAAATAGGGGGGTGGCTCAGAAAACAACTTTTCTCCCTTTCTTTTTGTCTCTTTCTCAGCCTCCCTCAGTTTCTTCCTGGCTTGTTTTATACTTTTTAATATCTCCTCCCCTTCCTTTTTCACTCTTACTGGATTTGCTGATTTTATTAATCCTATATCTGTGTCATGTTGAGACCATAGTTCAGTTGGTACCTGTTGCTGCATTTCCTTATATAACTCAGTCTCATTTTGGTTTATTATTTCAGATGTTGTAGTCATCTGTGTCATTTTCTTTTGACCGATAACTACTTCTTCAGGAATTCCCAGCAAACTGGTTGCACACAAAATTTTGATATAATTTTTGTCAGCTGAATGAAAAATCAATGGATGTTCTGTTGGTTCCCACTTGCTTTGTTCTGCCTTTTTCATCATTGGTCCTAAATCTTTTGCATCCCAATTTTTTTTCCTACATATACTGCAATATGTGGAACCAAATTAGTTTCACTGAACCATTTTTTTACAAATTCACCTTCTGGTATATTTAAAGCTGCTCCCTGTTTACCTATTATT